TCTCTCTCTCTCTTGGAGCTTTAATTGTATAATAAACTGCACTTACATGTATACCAGGGATGTAGATGTAGATGTAGCTAAGAGCTACATGTGGCTACTGGCTAATTTATCATGGATGTACCTGCTGACTCTTGTGAATGCCTTGGCCATGAACCTCAGGTCTGTGGGTCAGAAAACTTTGATCTCAAGCCCACTCCACCACGTCAGAGGACCAAAATCTCACATCTTCAATGTAGCTAGGATATTTGAGCTATTACAACCTTACATGTAACTTGCACATTTATAAAAAACATATACTGAGAGAGAGGACTTCAAGAGAAAGACATGTACATGCATGCTTTGGAAACAAGCTCATTGTGCACTGACATGTTGTCCACCTTTAGTACTTCATGTCTGTGCATACATGTACTTTTGTAACATTAATTTAACAAGAGGCAAAGAACTTTTAATAGATGTTTTAACCTAAAGTTAACAATTTTATCTTTGTTAGTGCATATGCCATTAATTAATTGAAGGGGTGAGGTCAGCCACAGGTATTTCATTAATATTTTACACACTCCCAGTCAATTGTACTATCCTAGGACTGAACTGGCAAACTCTGTATTAACCACTTTTGACCAAGGACATCACTGATGTTGTTGTTTAAGTTGTACACTTGCCTCTTCAATTAGGATGAAGTCTTGTCAGTTGAAAGCTCTTTTCTCCTTGATATTTCAAAGCTTCCTTTTAATTAACACTGACTAAATTCCCAACAGAAACTCTATGTGGGGATGAAAATTTTGGGAGCAATACGAGAAGTGAATGAATATGACATGGCCATCAGTCTGCCAAACGGACTGAGTGGATTTGTTCACATTACACATGTAAATGAGAAGATCACCGAAAGATTAAAGGAGGTGTTACAGGCTGATGACACAGACAGTAAAGAGACAGAGGCAAGATATGATTTTGAGTTTGTTAGTTTAGCATAATTTTTTGAGAGTAATGCAAGACACCATGATGATCATGAATCAATAATGATGACATTCGATCTGGCCAGGACATATCACTAGGAAACTTTTATGTACATGTACTGCTTTCTTTTGAGATTTCTAGACTGTCATGTACCAGTAGGTACATTGCACTATATAATTTTAAAAACATACAGTACATGTACATATGATAGGGCACGAGCCTTTATATTTAATTCTGTCTTGATCATAATGATTGTAGAGTCCAAGAAAAAAGAATCTTGTCAGAATCTGATCCTGGGGTCATGACATAATTAAAACTTTCTTGTTAATACTCTGCAAAGAAACTGGCATACAAGAAAGATAATAAATGAATGTCCTACAGTTTGTTTACATGTACATTAGAGCAACATAAATGTACAAACAACATATTAATCTATATCACTAAGTTGAACTCTCCCTAGCTATTCATAAATCAAAATATCACTAAGCACTACATGTACAATCATGTAATTTGTTCTTCTAGACTTTTGGAGAACAGCAATGATTACATGTAGCTGTATACATTTCATAAATAAACTAGCATTATCCTAGAATTCAACCACTTGGTTAGCTTGAAGGAAGATCACATGCTGGCACATGCTGGCTCAAATGTGACCCTGAAATTTCTGTGTCGCACTTTGTATTTGCAGACAACTAGTTTTCCAGAGCTTGCTAAATTCTTCACTGTTGGAACCCTGGTTCAGTGTTCAGTGTTGGAACTGGAAGGTTCCAAGCCTGGTCAAAAGAAAATCAAATTATCTTTGGATCCTAAAGGTGTTAACAGTGGGCTCAGCAAGTCATCTCTGAAGCCAGGAATGGTAGGCAGAAGAATATTTAAACAGTAATTAAAAGTTCTTCATGATTGTAATAATATTACTTTTTTATTTAAATCATACATGTACCTAGCAATTTGTCAGTTTGTCTTTTCTTACAGTTACATTATATACTACAGTACTACTTTTCTTGGTCCGTAATTGTATTTTCTTGTGTCAGTTAATTTATAGCATTTGAAGCACTATCATGACTTCCTGACTTGACTTGTCTTTTAAGAGGCATTTCTAATTAGTTTTGGTTAGTTTTGGTTTTTGTGATGCGTCATAATTGCAATCCACTAAACTTATTGGGAAATCAGTTGTTTGTATATTTGCATCTTGTACATGTATTGGTATACACAAACTATAAAAAATGTACTGTTTTATGTTCATCTTAATATGGAGCTAGAGACATACTTGCACACCTCAGCATAAGAACTGTTATTTCTGTGGGAGTATAATAGTTTAAGTTTATGGCATCCATAAACTGATGTTAATGAGACCTGAGAGACAATATCTCAAAGTCAGGC